CACAGAACTAAATTATTGCATGGAAAAAATCTTCAGTAACTACTTATTGCTTGGATTTTTGTTACGTCTCAAGATGTGTCATGGCTGTGCAGCACTAACAGCAGAAAAGCATATTTAGCAGCTGACTGTGCTCCAGAGAGCTTGAAACTGAAATATGTGAAATATATTCAGTGCCAAAGGAAGCAAACATCATTTTCGTGGTTACTACGAAAGGTGGGAAAGAAGCCAGTGTCACTAATCTGGGGCACAACCAGTAGCTGCACCCAGTCCCCTTGATTTCTCAATCTCTCAATTGCAGGAATGTTTTTTCCTATTTTCATCCACTACAGTTGTTAGGAGTAGTAGGAAATTTCAGTAGGATACTGGGAATGAAAGGAGACAGAATTTCATTTATCTTCCTGTTGTTTCACTTTAAAAAATTGTCACCATACACAAAGCAATTGGTAAAAGTAGAAAGTGGGGTATTTTCTCTACTGCAGCCTTTGCATTTTATAACCAATCCAGCGGGATTATGCATTAGTCATTAATCTGTTACAGAGAGGAAGCAGTGGATGGGCCAAAACCCAATTTGTTTGTTAATTTGCAAATATTGAGCAAAAGAGATGAACAAACTGAACAAAGACGTAGTTGACAAAGCAGATTTTTTTTTTTTTTTGTATTTCAAAAGCTTTCTTTTGGATTGAGTCTATTCATAAATTATATGACACACAGTTGTGAGAAGATATCAGAAAGTCTCAGTAGATTTAGATTTTCAGATTAGCTGGTGAGCTGCACAAATGTGACCTGAATTATGACTGTCCTGTGGTTTCTACTTATAAATCCTTTTTCCACTACAAACAAATTATGAAATATATTTAAAATAATGAGTTAATGAAAAAAAGAGAGTTTTTTTAAATGGACACAACTACTTTGAGTAGTGTAACTTTTTGCTGTGAGAACAAAAAAAAAAGCCCTCTTCAAATCTCTTTCATATGTAAATACATCCATTTACTTCAGCAGCATCAATGAATCTAGATTTGACCGATAAAAGTCAGCTGGAATGTCACTTCTGTGATTGTGTGTCAGAAAGATGCAGGAGAGGTTAGTGGGGAATCTGTATGTGTTTAGGTTCTTACCTGATATGTCATCTTCACATCAAAGCAGGACCCTGGGTCATAGAAAAAAAAATGGAAGCAGAATTTTGTTTTGAAGTGTGTCATTTCACGTATGTACAGAGCTATTACTTCCATCTCAGGCAATGAAACTATGTACTCTATTTAGAAAGAAATATTTTTTTGTAGAACTGTAATTATGAAGAAATTCCTTACTGTCAGGGTGGTGAGACACTGGAATAGGTTGTCCAGGGAGGTACAAACATGGCAGTGTTCAAGGCCTTCAGCAGCCTTGTCTAGTGAGATGTGTCCTGTCCAGGGCAAGGGGGGGTTGGGACTAGATGGTCTTTGAGATCCCTTCCAACACAAACCATTCTACGATTCATTCTATGATCCTATGATTTACAAAAAGAAGAAAAACAAATCTCATACAAGTGCTTGCATAATGTTATATTAAGGAATTTCAAGGAAAATCTGATCAAGATGGTACTCGAACTGTGAATAGAATTTCAGGTGCCACCACAGTGTTGCAAAGAGTCCTACAAGAAGGTCTCCCCTGTCACCAGTGTTGCAGTTACTCACTCAACAAATCTTGTGTTCAGTAATTCATTTCAACAGCAACAAAAAATACAAATAATTTTATCACCGATAATTTTTTTTCCTCAGTTTCTTTTCTAAAGCAATCAACACAAATCTTTGTTCTCCTATTCTTAGTGTTTTGAGGTTTGTTTTTGGGGTGTGTTTTTTTGGAGTTTTTTTGGGTTTTTTTGTTGTTTTTTTTTTTCAGGGAAGAAGGGGATATTCAAACAATTGGAAACTTTTCAGTCAAGAATGTGGAGATAATATGTTAAATACAGCTGATAATTCATGGTAAGGGAAATTTGCTCCTTCCCATATATGTGCTTGTTTTCTGAGCAAGATTTTCAGAAAACAGGATCTTAGCCTTAGGAGTTTGTCCTGCATGAACTTTTCAGGAAAGCAATTCTGCTACATCAGGGATTTAATCCATTTATTAATAGGCTGTAAAATGATGGGTGTTGATTTAAAATCCAGAGACACTAAATAACTGGTTTAATTTTTGTATGTGTAAAATATACAGATCGCTAGTTGAAAAAAAACCCCATACTATTGCTTTCAATGTTTGTCTATTAAAAAGAAAGCATATTTTTCACTCAGCTTATATGCCTATGTTGATTTTTCCGAGCTCTGGAGCATGAGCTGCAATACAAATAGAATGGCATAGCTATTTACCCAGCAGTTGTCCAGACAAACTGACCTGATTAAAGTGAAAATTTTTCATTGAAGCAGTTTTCTATGGGTGTGCTGGGATATTTTTAGTGAAAGGGCATGGTTTTTTTTGCAAGTTTATTTTAGTACCACCCCCCCCCACCCCGCCCAGACACCAAACATTCAACTTAAAAATTTATACATATTTTATAAGTCTCCATAATGCCTTCTGAGTATGACAGTTTAGATGCTTATTGCTCCTGTTCTACTTAGGGGCCTGTTTTCCTGTTTGGACTTAGTGCTCCATGACATGCCACTATCTCTGCATTATGGCTGTAGACATAGCCTATTCTGTGATGAATTGAGGGAAATACAGTCTAGTAATGTAGCTACACAAAAGAATGAGAATATGAGTCACTCAAACTTTAATATCTGTGAGTGCCAAAGCTTGTATTTAAAGCTCCCCTGGAAAATTTAATTATTTTCGGCAAGAAGAAAAAACCTGAAAATATTTTTAATTACCTCTAGACAGCTAGTTTTTATTTACTGTTGAATACATATGGTGACTTCAGTAAAATTATTCCAGAGGATATAAGTTTCGAATTTTAGCTCTGCAGAAACCTAATACTGAGTGAAAGGCTCAATCTGAATTTTTGTACAAATGATTTCATCTGACAGAGAAGGGTGATTTTGAGTCAGGAGCATGTTGGGCTATTGGCATTCTTCAGCCATACTCTATTTGTGCAGAGAACTTTTTTGTTGATGTCTCTATTAATCCTTTCTCTCAGTTCGTAGCATTTGAGACAGAAAGCATTTTTTCACCCAAGTGTTGTGCATGTGGATTGCCCACACAACTGAAATTCATCTGTGAACTACAGTGTCAGCTTGACATCAATTACTGTCTGTGGCTCCAGGATAGGTATCTTTAAGCATCAAGCAACAAGCAGAAGTTGTATTTTAAAGCCTTGAAACCTTGTCTGAAGCTGCTGGTCTGAAAGCTCTCATGCAATTTGGATGGTATTTTCTTAGCTTGGATTGCTTAATCAATGCTCTGTTTTCACTTCATTGGCAAAAAATAATACAAAAAGAAAGCTTCTCTATTAACAAACCATTTGTCATTTCCAAGCTGGCAGCAGAGGTCTGTGCAGTCATGTCTAATGAGTTGCTAAATCTTTATGCCTTCTCCTCTTTGGAGAATCATTAAGTTTAGAAGCACTCGCCTCTACAGGGCTGATCAGGATGGCTTGTTTTAAAACATGTCAAAAATGTTGGGCAGCAGCTTGTTAAAAACATCCACATTATGGATCATTCTGATTGACTGGGCATAATTTAATGCCAGTTTTGTTATTATTTTTCACACAGGTTGCAAAGATGCTTACAAATCCTGAGACTTTAGTCTGGACTTGGCACAGAGATGTAGTGCATCTAAGCTCTTCCAATTTTTCTTCATATTAATCCAAAATATTTTTATTTTCTTTTAATTTGAAATCTGAGTAACTGTTGCTCAGTGCTATTACAAGACCTTGCCCAGAGAAGTTTTGAATGCCCCATTCCTGGAAAAGTTCAAAGCCAGGTTACATGAGAGTTTAGAGAAACCTGATCTACTGGAAGATGTCTCTGCTCATGTCAGAGGGATTGAAACGCTATGATTTTTAAGGTCCCTTCCAACCCAAAGCATTGTATGGTTCTATGACTCTGTGACTGTTGAGAAACTGATTTTCAGAAAGGCTTCATTGTCTTCATGTCAAGTCAAGTGTCACTTCTTCTAAACATCAGAGCTACACAGTCAGCCTAAATCTCTGCAAGAGACTGTGAACTGCAGCCCAGCCCTCAGCCCATCACATCAGACCAAACCTAGTTGCCAAGGGTTTGTGTCCAAACAGAGAACAAGTGATGTGCATGCATATTCCTGTGCCTCTGACTTCCATTAGGTAACCTTCAGCACATCATAATTGTATCCTGGTGTCTCGTCTGCTTTAAGACAGTGAGTGACCTTGACTTGGAGCAGGTGCAGAGCAGGCACACGTTTCAGCTGACACAGCCTCTGGCAAAGGGGCAGGTAGGGAAGCCTCTGTGCCAGAATTCATTTGAACTTATTCCTTTCATGACTGCAGGGTGGACGGGAGATGGAGGAGAGGGGAGCAACCCTCCTCCTTTTACTCCCTTGTTTCAGGGGAGTTAGTCCCTATCAGGGAGAAAGAAAGGCAGTCCCTGTCCCCAGGAAGAGTTTTTTGTTTCTCTCCTTTGTATGTACTACATGAGGGTGTGAACTATGACTTTTCTCTCATCCCCTCCACCATACCATGAAGACAAACTCTCCTCTGCTCCTATAACTAGGTTTTCAGAGCTCAGCAGCAAAAAGGCAGACCTTGTTCTTCCAGAAAATGACATGACATTTTGTTAGTGCCAGAGAGAATTTGACTCTAGTATCCAAAGACTGAATTTAAGTCTTCTATTGAGCACTTCATTTCAAGTTAAATAATTTTGTTTTCTTACCAATTCATAGTGAAGAACATCTATGTTTCCTGTCTTGTATGTATAAATGTAATTTGATTGGATTATATGTATTGTATGTTTCCAGGAAAATAAAGGAAGTAAAATTAGGAGGAAAATCATGACACAAATGACTTTGGTCTAATTTGTGATTTTCAGATTTTGAATATTTCTTATTTTGATTTGTAGGTGATGATCTGCTGACAGAATAAATAAATCATAGAAAGTGCCGACACTGCACAGGCATTTGCTGTGGTATCACTCCCACATGAGGAACCTTCATCACAGTCTTTCTTCAAGTATGTTCTCTCCTGTGGTAAGTTTTTCAGTCATACCGTCTTCTCCTGTATCAAGAGTTTTCAGCAGAGGAAGTGAGATGAATTCTGAAAAGTCCAGCCCTGGTCCTAGACTTTGTTAGCAGAACTGGAATCTATAGACAGTAAACCTGGCTGTACTCATGTTAAACACATGCAAGGCCACGGAGTGTAGTAAATATAAGAGAACTAAATTACAGGTGTCACTGACTTTAGTTTGTGTTTCCTTTGTGCCCATGAAGTGGTCCACATTTGCACAGTGTGTAAATTTTTTTTACTTGTCTGTTTACATGAAATTAATTTTTTTAATACTGGCACCTGTATTTTAATTTAAGACTTTCCGAGTTATGTCAGTTCCTCTAAATAACTAAGAAAGATCCTCATGTCCAATATTGAAAACAAATAAACAAAAATCCATTAATAATTTTGACAACTAACCTTTGAAATCAAGACCTAATTAGTTCCTATTGAGCTTGGTCCAAAGATCATTGAAGCAATTTGGAGTCTTACCATTAAAGTTAATTGACTTTAGAGCAAAATTGTCAGACACACTGGTATAGCAACATATACCAACACCCATCAGCAGCATCACCTCCAGACAGACAGGCTGTGTTAGCTTCTCTATTTGACATTGTTTCTGGTAAGGATGTTGCTTAAGCTGATTATGTCCCTGTGGGCAAATAGAGGACCTAGCAAAAACTTTGTGCCCTGGGTACCTGTTTATGTGGCAGTCACCAAAGCCTGCAGGTTTCACACATTCCAGTGTCAATGTGGAGGTTTCATCAGAAGTGTCAACATTAACAAGATTTTAAACTGCAGGCGAATATAGAGGATCATTTGATCCTGGCAAGGAACTGTTTGCCTCAGCACTTGTGAGATAATGTAGAGTAAGCAGCAAATCATTGATGAATCTGTAATGCAACACCAGTCCCAGGAGTACTCAGGCAAAATTGCTGCCAAGAAGAAGGAAAGGCAACAAAAGTGATTAAATGTAGTGAAAGATTCAGACATTGGGAGACCTTTAGGGAGAAACTTCTTATTTTAAGCATAAAGGAAAAAAATGCTACAGAATTATGTGCATAAAGCTTTCATTCTGGCTTAATAAAAACCATAAGGAACCCACAGATGCTGAATGTTTACTGAACCTTAATTAGCCTAGAATCATTCTTGCATTACTCTAGTTTTATGCTTGTGGTAATGTTGACTTCTGGCCATTAGCCACGAGTTTCTAGGGAACCTTTCACACATTCTACCAAGCCATTAATTCTCATCATTGTTACATGCTTTTGCTGTCGATAGACATAATTAATAAACATAGGTAAAAATTTGCACTGATAGAGCAAGGTGCGTGATCATTCCTTGAACATTTAAAACGTGGAAAATTCACTAACAGTATCCAACAATACTTAAATGGGGATTAGAGGACCTCAGTGTAGTTGCATTGTCAAAATGGTGGATTGCATCTGTCAACACAGAGAGGTGGTCCTTAGCCTTGCATTTCAGTGGATGCCTCCCCCATCTCTGTTTTGTCTTGTTTCTGGATGCCATATTTCTAATAGGTCCAGTGGGATCCATGCAGGTTCTTCCATAGTAATGGCTGGGACTTGTAATAAAGACCTTGGCAAGAGGGAGATCACTGCTTATTTTCCATCTCTGTGGTGTATTTGCTTTGGGAACACAATTCAGTCACTTGGGCTGGTTTTAATAGGGTTGATAGAACTACTTTCTTTGAGTAATCTGCTTCATGGCACAGCTTTGTTTCCAACTATATTGCTGTGCCTGGAAGAAGGGTTCAAATTCTATTTGGTTGCCCAGGTTACTTAATGTAACAAATTTGGCTTAATCAGTTTCAAATCGAGATTAAAAAAGCCCCCTCCCTATCACATTGATTATCCTCAAAGTAATCCACTCCCTTTGCAAATTTATTTTGGAAACTAAGCAAGGTTATACAGCATTAAATACAGCAAGGTTATACTGTATTAAATACAGTAATCTATTTAGATGAATGCAGTTGCAAAGCTCTGGCTAATATTCTTATGACATTTAAATTAAAATATGCATCCCACCTACTGATACCAAAAATAATGAGTTAATGTACCAAAAATAAACATTCATTTAAAGAAAACAGAGACTTTTAAGTGATCATTCTGAAAATTTCAATGCCATCTTGCAATAATTTGTGATGCCATCTTGCATGATTCATGCTTGAAATATTGTTTTGTAATTTCTCTTCAATATGCTTCTCTATTATTGGACACCTTTTACTTTGCACCAGCTGATTTTGGAGGTAGATGAAGATGGTTGTTAATCTTTCATCAGCTGCAGCAGGGAGGATATTCTTTAGACTATACTGGGAAAAAATTATGTAAGGATCTCTAGCTTCATGTTTATATCCAGGTCAGCAGACATCCAAAGAAATTTGTCTCCTAGGTACCATCAGAAAAGGGGCACGCAAGATAGATGGGCTTGGCAATGAGGCCCTGCCTGTACCATGACAAAAGGGACCCACAAGGCCTTTCAAGTCTGCAGTAAAGCACGTGCTCAAGGGATTAGGCAGGAGGGAAGAAGAGAATCAACTCTTCTTTTTATCTGAATTCACACACACACACCAAAAAAAAAAAAAAAAAAATTTCTTTCAGGCATAACCAAGGTGGAAAGACAATGTCTTACTGATGGAGAAACACGTACTTAGTGCCATGATTTATTGAGAGTGTTTGTGCTTGTTTCCTGAGAAATACATGGAGCCTTTTGATAACACTAGATGAGAGCAATCTGCTGTGTGGGCAGATGTGCACATAATAGATGGTGCCTGAGGCATATTTGCCCACATTTGGTGAAATCACTTCTTTATCTTACTACATGATTTAGTTTTATTGTATTGACTGCTGAGAACAGTATCTTCTTCATGTTGGAAATCGCTACCTTACTTACAAGTATGCAGATTTTAATAATGCAGTAATAGTAATGATTTTTTTTTTAAGTGTATGGTAAAACTAGTGTCACTCTTTTCCTGTGGTTGAAGACGCTTTAAAATTGGTGGACTGGTCATACTGATTTTGAAATAATCTATTTTTGCTGTTGTTCCAGATGATGTAAATTAATGGAAAATGGTCTCAGAATCTGGCTAGACAATGCTTTTGCTTTTTTGAGAGTCTATGCACTATGTTTAAGAGTTTTGCCTTATGCTCTCAGCTGGGAATTAGATGGGATCATTTCCTTTGAAGTTTTGTTGTTAAGGTTCCAGATCAATACAGGATTTATGTTCACATGTTTTCAAGTACACAAGTAGTCCTTCTGAAATCAGTGAAAAAGTTCTGACTTAATTGATGTCAGTGCCAGAACTCCCACTCACTTCAGAAAGGCCATACCTAATCACATTTTTCAATCGAGTTGTTTTGGGGCAAGAAAAGGGAGGATTGTTCTGTTTATTACCAGTGAATGAAGGGTAGTAATATGTTAAGATTTTATAGCAGATACTGTGGAGATATCCATGGAGAACTGTCAGAAATAATTATTTCAGTACCATAAAAATCTTCAGGTTTAGTAATTCCAGTTCTTTATTTTGTCCTTCTACATTATGTATTAATGGTAACCATGTTACTGTGATGATGTCAAATGTAATCCAAATGGTTTAGACAGCATTTAGATACAATTGATGCAAAGCCTTTTACTGTATCAAACTAAAACCATTAGTCATGTCAAAATAAATTATTTTGTCATTGCCAAAATGCTTTTGTTTTAGATTCCTGAATCTCTTTTCTTTAAGCCATTTGTTTCATTGGAAATTCTGAAGTAGTGACATTCTTTCTGATTTAGAGCAACATCAAATTTTGAAGGAGCAGAATTTCCTGCAGAACAGAAATTCCAATTTTGACCATCTCTCAGTGCAGTGAGTACTTCATTCACTGTGACTGCCAACTCAGTGAAAAGCTGGGTACTAAAGTGCTATTCAAATCTGGAGCTTAGCTGGCTAATATTATTGCTGATCAAAAGAACATGAACATATGGTTATATTGTTGGACAAATATATTGTCTGTGATGCCTTGGCTTTTCAGAAGATAATGAGACTTGTTACAATTGCTCTTCCTCAGATAATCCATTTCTGATTGACAAAATTTTTAAATAGAACCCAAGCTTTTGTAGAACATAGAATGCTTCTTCTACCTTCCTTCTGCTCTCAGAAAACATCTTCACAACCTACATAATAAGTGATAGTCACAAATAAGTCATAGTTTTACTATTAAAAGCTTTTGCAATAGATTGGTGTGCAATATAGCCACTTTTATTGAGCCTTTTATTAAGTTCTACTTGTTTCTTAATTTCTTGTTTGTCATAATTTCTTGGCAGAGGAATATATATTAACAAAAATTCTTTTTCCTCTTACCTGGTAACTTTATCTACAGAACCACATGTTGTTTTTCTTTTACTGTAATTATGATGGGCTGGGATTGAGGCTGTCTTAACACTATTTTATACAAATATAGTGTCCTCAGTTTCAGTAGAATGCATGCCATTCTATACATATGGTTGCAAAAAAAGTTCTTTTGGATATTTCATCACATATTGAAAGTGCTGAACTCTTGGATAATACAAGTGCCTGCCTGGTGGTAATATCCTCAAAATTTTTCTGCTTGTTTCCTAAAATGTCTGCATTGTCAGAAATTTTGTTCACACAGAGTCATGGAGTGTTTTGTTCAAACAGTGCTGACGACTATGGTGTAATAAATGTCCCCAGCTGTTTTATGGGAACCTTTAACATACAGGCTGAGTGAAAAGTAGTCACATAAACTTTCTTCCACTGTTGTAATGGACTTTGAAAATCTGCTAAGCCCTGGAGGACTAGGGAAGTCAAGGAAAGTCAGGATATAAAAAATAATATTAACACATCGTTAGTGTAAGCAAACATAATGAGATTTTGCATTTAAATGAAATTTTATATACTCACAGGAAGCATCATCTAGTGGTTAAGGTATAGAATTGGGAACTGAATGATGCTGCTTCT